CCTGATGGGAATCAGTGGCTGGAGGTGACACCTTCTTTTGTGGTGTTGACATCCTTGGTCAATTTGGCATTCTCTAAACAAGCAAAATATGAGGCTAGACACATGGAACTATCCTCAGCCGGTTGAAGTGGGATATTTGTCACAGGTCACCCTCAGGCCCCTACCTTCTGATTTGCCTCTTCTCTTCAGGCCCTACCCCCCAAGTGCCAGTTAGACCAAAGACAACTTTCCCTGCACCCAAGACTCCACATCCTGAACCAAAAGAGACAACCGAGAGCTTCAAGGGAGGTAAAGATGGAAGCCACAATGTTCAGTCAAAGATTTTGTGGTCCTCTTGGAAGCTGACTTGATGGGAATCAATGGCCGGAGATGACACCTTCTTTTGGTGGTGTTGACATCCTAGGTGTCTTCTTTCACATTGGCATTCTCTAAACAAGCAAAATATGGGACTGGACATAACAGAGTCTCCTCAGCCAGTTGAAGTGGGATATTTGTCACAGGTCACCCTCAGGCCCCCACCTTCTGATTTGCCTCTTCTCTTCAGGCCCTACCCCCCAAGTGCCAGTCAGACCAAAGACAACTTTCCCTGCACCCAAGACTCTACACCCTGAACCAAAAGAGACAACCGAGAGCTTCCAGGGAGGTAAAGATGAAGATAGAGATGTTCAATCAAAGGTTCAGCCTTCTACTTTCCAACAGAATGATGAGAAACACTCTCCAAGAATACCACATTCCTTTTCATGTTGAGTCATCTTTGGCCTTGTCCATCATTGAGTGCATTCTTGAGACATGCAAAATATGAGGATGAATATATGGCAGTTATATCAGAAGGTTGAAGCATAATCAGAGGGTTGAAGATGTGATTCTCACCCTCAGGTCTCTCACTTTCTAATTCTCTTTTTCTCTGCAGCCCCCCATCCCCAAGCACCTGTCAGAGAAGGCAACAAGCAAGATCGTTCATCTCTGCAGAGTAGTGAGCTATTCCTATTTCTCAGCTGGCACCATAAGGCACAGGATCAAATATAGATCTTTTCTCGGCAGAAACTGATGAAAGTGAAATTTCTCCAGACAGTTCTCAGAGCCCCCAGCAGATACAGAAACCCCCAGAAAGTGGTGAAAAAATGGCACAAGCAGATGCATAACACAATGTTGTGTAATATATATTACGCTATGATCTGTTGATACATTTCAACTGATTGCAGGAAACCAACTTTAAATTTTACCAGGAACCTGGAGTTACCTCCAAATCACAGTTAAAATGATTACCCAGCTTGCAAATCATCAGTCAACACTATTGATGCTAACTAGCATTACATTATAATTAATATCACCTTTTGCTAAATATCCCCTTTATTTTACAATGTCTAAGACATCTTATTCTTTAAGAGCTTGATTGTTATTTTCGTTCCAGGACTGGATGAAGCATCCTTCTTTCTCCTTTTCATAACCAAACTCTCCCAACTTTTAACAGCAAAACTAGCGCTTTGATTCCTCTGCCGAATGCTGCCGTGTCAATCCATAACTGAATCCAAGACTTGTACTTTAACAGTCATCCTTCAGTTCTTGCTCAGTCCTTCAGGAAGCCAACGAGGGAGCTGTTTGTCCCAGGGAAAGTTTTACAGCTAGTAACTTTTGCAGATTACCTTGTCAAAAATGGGTTGCAGCCAGATTAATCATCTCACTGACTTGACTGGCTTGTAGCTTTATCACCTACATTAATTTCTGTCTTGCCAGGGAAAAATGGAGGATCAGGACCTGAAACGGAGGCTTTATTGGAGCCCTCTCCAACGCCTGATTCTGAGTGTCCCCAGGGATCAGAGAAAGGTATGGTCCTAAATTGCTTCTTTCGAGCGTGCCACAGTCAGGCAGGGGATATAAGAAAGCTTCTTGTGGCTCTCTACGGCAACAGTCTGCTGAAAGCCCCCAGAAGAACTTCTTCCCCCTTAACAAAACATGGACCTTTCAGCACCACGGACAGCAGCAAGAGCCAACTAGCTTCTCTCTCCCTGGTGAACAGCGGATCCAGAGTTTTCCGATGAAAGATTTTTATTTTATTTTTTTTAAAAGAGGGTATTGGGGAAAGTTGTGAACTAAGAAAAAAGATATTAAAAGAAAGCAGATATAGGGGAAATTCATGTTTCAAATAGTACAAGTCCCTGAAAAAAGGAACATTGGGGAAATGAGTTACTTCCAGAAGCGTTCCATGTGAAGAGAAGCTGTAAATACACACACACACACAAATTGGAAGAAATTAATATATTCTAAGTGATAATAGTAAAGTGAAATATTTCCCCCAGCATCTGCCGAATCGCTTTTGTAACTGAGAAGCTGCGTGTCCCTCCCCTTCCCCAGCCAATTGATCTCAGTGGAGTCTTTCTGTTTGTCTGATGATGACCCTAACCGCAACCCTGCTTTGCTTCCATCTCTATAAAAGATGATGATGATCAGCATGAATGTGAAGAAGAGGAGGAGGAGGAAGGCGTCACCGCCCCTGCCCCCACCCTTGACTCTGAGCAGATTCTCACCCAAGGTCCTCAGAAAGGTAGGAACTGCGATCAGGAGGAAACACAGACCAACAGAGATGGGCTGCACCACAGACTTCCAGCACCAACATTGACTTCCTTTTCCTGCAGGGGGAGAAGGTCCATCCACATCAGGATTTAAGCCCGTCACTCCTCAAACCCTAATCCCCACCCCTGAGCAACAACAGACAACTCCAGTTTCTGAGCAAAGTATGCAGGTGTTCCCAGATGTAACTGGAATTTGCCCCTGAGCTCCTCCCAATCTGATGCACTTCCATGCCTTTGGTCTGTTCTGAGGCTGATCCAGTAGGGTCTCCAGACCAAGGGGAGGCTGAATGTTGCCCCCATCAATTAGTAATATTTGATGCCATTCAGGACTTGGAAGTTGCAAGTCCACAGTAATTCCCTGAGCCTCACCACAGAAATCTTGGCTTGGATGTTCCCTGTAATATAGCCAAGTGGAGAATTTTTCATCACCTCTCCCCGCTTTGTCCTGCTCTCATTTTAGTGTGTTACACTCGCTGGTTTAACCAAGATGATCCTGTGGACAGTGGAGATTATGAACTCATCGCTGACATCCTCTACAGAAACCCCAGTGAAATGTGCTTGTTGCCAAAGGCAATAGAAGTTCAGACTCTGAACGGAACTCCAGCATCTGAAACAGGGCAGAACTTTGCTGTGTGAGTTTTCAAGATTTGGCGAGATGGTTTCGGAGGGGGGAAACAATTTTACTGCAGACCTCCAGCATTAACTTAGCAGTAAACCTATCAGCCCACATTTCAGACTGTCTTCAGAGAAATGTCTCGACAGGATGACATCCACTGTGTTTGGGGGAGAGGGTCTGGGAGATTTCAGACAGGAGTCATTCTTGATCTACCTGGACATTCAACCAAGGCTGTGGATTGAGCTACAGTCTTGCCTCTATAGTTTTATTTCCTTACTTCAGGAATAGGCCACCTTTCAGCTTTCATTTGTTCATTCCTCTGGGCAGGAAGCAAGCAAAGATTGGCTTCATCTGCCTCAACATCATGCAGGAGAAAGGACAGTGGTGCCATGATTATCGCGTGCGGTTCTTGTGCCCACAAGCCTTCTGTTCAGGTAAGCATGTTTGCTTTCGTCTTTAGATCCTTGGTAATTTTGACGTCCTGGGTTTAATCTTTTTGCTCGCTTCTTGCTGAGGAGCAGATATGGAGAAAATATGCAACAGCCATTCGTAAAACATGAGCCCAGGAAAATGGGAAAGTGTGAGCAAGAAATTCAAGACTGCATTTGGATTCTCTGGGGTATAACAAGGAAGGGGAAATTCTGCCAGGCTTTCAAAACTGATATCAGCCCTTCAGAGTAGGCCAGGTCAAGAAACAGACACCACAAGGAATCCTAGAACACTACTATATTGATCTAGGCTAAAACAACATGATCTTGAAAGCTTTATAATGCTTCCTCTTCCCTTCCTCTTGTTCCAAAGAGAGTCAATGTGGGGCAATCTTGAGTCTCTCTCTCACACTTTCCTGTTTTCTTGGGCTGAGCTCCTGTTTTGCTAATGAGTGCTGCATATTTTCTTCAAGGCCATGTCCATACTTCTCTACATTTCCTGTAACTCAGCTGTGAATAACCTTATTGGACACAAGACCTGCATTCGCCCTTGCCTGACATCCTGAGGGCTGTCTTCAAAGTAGGGGTGTGGCCAATTGAAGTGGGTGGATCCAAAGCAGAAAGTAGGTGGGGCCAGAGCAAAAAAACCCCACTGGTTATAGTATATGTATTTATAAATATAAATAGATGAATATGTAAAACAAATATTAGAAATGAAAAAAATAAAAATAATATTTTGGGGATTTCTCTTTCTGTAGGAGGCCAAGAGGCCATCACTTCTCCTGTCCCAGCTTCCCCCTTGGAGCAAGTTCAGAGTACCTCAGAGATTCCTGTGAAAGGTACATAATGACCACAATAACTGTTTTGAGATCTGTTCTGTGTATCATCTAAGTGTCAAGCTTCCTATTCACATGCAAAGAAAAGAAGTTCAGGGGAAGACCCTGGAAGCACAAATTTTCCACCCAATTGGTAACAGGAATGACAGGTGAAAAAAAACCAAGAAACTGAAATTACTGCATAGGGAACCCTGAGCAAATTAAGCATGAAAATTATGCTATTTAGCTTTTCACATTCCAGATGGTGTGGGATTGAGTGGAGTGAATGGAGGAAAACATCTCATCTTTTGAGATCAGGCAGAGGCAGATGAATCGTATCTGGTTTTGGTGGGCCAAAAGCCAGAAGTGTGAATAGATCTCTTGAAAAGTGAGCCACTCCACAGATCTCACTAACCAAGTTCTACATGCCATATATTATAGACCAGGAAATTGACTTGTGTAAGAAGAAAAGATCTGGACATATGCTTTTCCTTCGAAAGCTTGTTCTGCTATAAAGGCTTCATCCTTCACCATCAAATTTGGCATATCTTTTCCACAGGTGGTCAAGACCAAAGCCCTCCAGGACCAAACTCCACCGTGGGACAAGTCCAGAGCACTCCACAGAGCACAGAGCAAGGTTGGCACCCCTGACAGGAATAATGGCAGGAGATGCAGGCCAACACATTAATGAGGAATGTTTAGTGTTGAGCACAGAAGACTGAAGGGAAATACCACAAACTCTTCAGATACCTGAAAGGTTCATGCATAAGACCTCTTGCCATCATTCCAGAGCACTGAAGGATGGATTTAAGTTTCAGGAAGGCTGGTTCTGGTTGAATTTTAGCTCAGGGTGACAGCAAGGGGACCAGAGACCAGAAGTGAGGTGGGCTTCTTTTACTGGATGACTTCAAATGGAGGCTAGATGACTGCTTTTCAGTTGGTTCTAAATATCGTCCAAATATGTGGGACTAAATATCGTCATCAGCCCCTTCCAATCTGGACTCTACAGTCATCTACATCTACAATCATATATCTTCTTATAACATTTTCTGTGGAAGAAGCCCTTCAAAAACATCCCTCCTCCAATCTCCACAACCCCAGATGAGGGGGAAGATTGATCCCTGCATGCCACATCTTGCAACCTTCATCATCTTGAATGTCCCTCAAAAGACCCACCTGGCTTATGGTCCCTTTCTGCTGTGGCCTTGCTGACAAATGATTATCCACAGATAGACATAAACACAGCCTGACACTATTCACCACAACCCATTCCATAAATTAGAGATGGGAGATGGGAATGTCTTCTCTTGCTGATCTGCTCAATAAGGCAAAGAATCTTATTCCATCCTTGAGTGATCACCAGTCCTTCCTTTCTCACATAACCTTGCAGGGACTGAGGCCCTTAGAGGTCCTTATAATCAATTTGGGGATGCCTGAATCCTTTCCAGTTCAGTCCATGATAATACTTCTGCTGCTTGTGTGTGTTTCTGCTGCTTAGTGGGCTCTTGGGATGAATCCCATCTCAGACCTTCTTTGTTTTTTCAAGTGCCCCTCAGATTTCCTAACCATGAACATATTTCAGTGAGGGTTTCAAGACTTTCCAGTCTGGCACCTTTGCAAAAGGGAAGGATGCTCCCCAGAAGCTGAAGAGAAAGTTGTGGATCAATCTGTGACCCCCACCAAATTCAGCAGAAATCTAGACCTTCAGGCACCTCCCCCCAATTCTTTAAGATTTTTCATTTTTTTATGGGACAGAAGGGGGAAATTCTTAAAGTATGACTGGGGAGTAACCATTTGATTGTAATGGAATGAAATGTCTATGCAATGAAATCATATTGTGTTTTGGTACTTTGTGGACAGGCTCCTATGAATCCCACTCAATGCTAGGAAAGCTTTGATAACAGCAAACTTTTTTTAAGTGACTTTGTAGCACAGGAGAGGCAATGAATCTTGGTGCCATAAAGGAAGGGAGGGGGCTTTTGTGGAGGTAGGCAAAATCTTGACATCTACCATTCCATTACAAAAAATTCATTTCAGGATGACACCACTGTCCACTCATTTTCTTTGGCAGAATCTCCTTCTGTTTGCCAGACGATTTGGTTCAACCAGGACAACCCTTCTGGGGAAGGGGATCAGGAACTCCTTGTTGACCTCCAGAGGCTAAACCCCCACCAGATTTGCTCTGAACCCCTTCAGATAGAGGTGCAGACCATCGATGGGATCCCAGCTTCAGAGACGGGGCAACACTTTGCCATGTAAGATGTCGTGTTTTTCACTCAGGACTGCTTGCTCTTGGCCGTAACTGCTTCTGCTGTGGTTCTGTTGAACATCCCTCCTGTGGTTTGTTTTCTCCCACCATGCTCCTTCAATCTCAGAAAAAGAAATTGCTTCTTCCATCCAAATTCTGCAAAGGAAGAAGAATTTGGAGGAACGCTCATGGGCAGGCTAAAGAATCGTTTGCTGAACTCAGTTAGAGAGCGTTCAAGTCTGTCCCTGTGTAAGCCTCTCTTTGATGCTCTGCATCTTCTCTGGCTTCCCCCACCTCAGTTAAATCCTCAGGGAATATTTCAGTAGGGAGCTCCCCCATGGCCCTTTTTTCAGATGGAAAGATGACGAGATGGAGAGACCTCTCCCTGGTTTTCCATACATCCAGCAAAATACAAGAGAAAACCAGAGAAAATTCTTCTATTTTTTTTTTCTTCAGAAGTAGGAGCAGCCAGGGAGGTTGCAACGTCCTGGAGAAATGGTAGCCAAGAACTATGCCAGCCCCTCTGCCTCTTCGCAACAGTAAAATTAGCTCAGAAAGATCCCTACCAAAAAAATCTTTAAAATTCCCTGAAGATGAGATACGGAAACAGATGTTTCAGGGGAGGGGAAACAGAGAATCATTTTTCACACAGTAATAAGGTTGGCCTGACTGTGGATTCCGTTTTCACTCCCAAGACCCTCCAAAGTTTCCTGACTTACAATCCACCTGCTTCTGTCTCTGAGCAGAAACGATGCCAATGTTGGCTTCTCCTGCATCAACGCTGAGCAAGGGAAAGGACAACGTTGCCATGACTATCGGGTGCGATTCACCTGCTCGTGGTCTTTCTGCAAAGGTAAGCTGATTCTTTAGTCCCCCCATTCAGTCGTGATTGGTTTGCTTTGCAGGAACAGACTGAGTTGCTACACAGGAAATCCTTCTATCTACCACAACCTAAGGATGGGCTGGACTCGTCCTACCTCTAGCAAGCATGGCTCATTTCTTCCCTGAGGAACCCAGGTCTTTTCCTGTCCTTGTCACTGGCATATGGTGCCTGCCAGCAAGGGGGTAACGCACAGCCACATGTCCCATCATCCCACCAACAGAGAAAGACGACCCAGAGACAAAGCTGACAGCAGTCACCAAGCCTGTTTGGAATGGGCAGTGCTGTGGGCCACAAAGCAAGACCCTTCCACCAAATGTGACTGACATACACATCTATGCTATCCGCATTACAGGGATACTTCTATTTAAAAACAGATAACTCAAGAAAGTGAGCCAAGCCAGAGGCCATAAGTCAAATAACACGCAGTACAAATTCTAAGCAAGGTAACAAGGAGATAAGGCACATAAAAGGGAGAGGTGACTTCTTCCTAACTCACAGATCATTTGTTTAGTCCGTATCTTTTGGCATCCAACTCACATTTTAAAATTGTGTTACTGTATTATTATAAAACACAAGTAGTGCATTATATATTTTGGGTACGGTGGTATTTATACAGTGTTGACCAGAGATTATTAACCCTCTGATGAGTTTGATAACTTAAACTTTTAAAGATAAAGAAAAAAAAGGGGGTATTATGTCCATATTAAATATAATTTCTAAAATGTTAATGTTGATAAACATAAAGTTGCTTAAATTTTACATTTAGAGCTGAGTGTGGCATTGATAAACAACTGCAAAATGCTTAAATTATTTGTATAATAAAGGTTTCTAGCTTAAGGTTAATACTTAATACTAAGATCTCCACTATATTGTAATCTATTGTTGTTTATGCATATTAGAAAAAAAGACAGACAAAAAGAGGATTTTTTCCCCATAGGAAGCCAAGAACTGTCTACTCCAAGACCAAAACCTCTTACATCTCTGGCCCCCACTTCTACTTTGGCACAAAATCAAAGCGCTCCACAGTTCCCAGTAGAAGGTACAAAACCCTATTTGAAACTGTTACAGAAGCTGTTTTACTTGCAAGAGTGAGCTAGGGAGAATTCACAGGAATAGTCTGCCTTGCTACTCCCTCCTTTCCCTCTGTCATGGTGTGTGGGAATGACCTTGGGAGACAGGAGGAAGAGCCGCAGACTAGACAATGTTCAGATAAGAGGCAGCTGAGCCCACAGAAGTAAAAGGGGCGTGGGAAGCATCTCAGAAGGGATTCTCCCTAGTTTCTTGGACTGTAAAGGCGAGGAGGGAGAGAGGTACTTTCAGACTTGCAAGTTTCTGTTAATGTAACCTAGTTACATTATGTTACTTAGTTATATTAGTTAGTTAGTTAGAGCTAGTACTGCTGGGTGTGCTTCTTGTCTGGACTACCTCACAAGGCTGACATCCCTTCCTCTTCTTCCCTAATATCCCAATTATGCCAGAATATCCATTAAGAATTTTTGTTTTTCATTCCAGGGTCAAGTTTGGAACCTGTCACTGTCCTCACTCCAACTACTCCAGAAATAAAAATTGGGGCCCAGGTGGAGGAGCAAGGTGGGTTTATTCTCCACTTTTCTTGGATGAGACATTAGAGAATGTCTTACTTACTCTTGTTCTTTGGAATCTGGATGGCTTGAATTGTAAGATTCAATTCAAGATCCAGATATAGATTCCTACTTGAAATCAATGGAACTTAACTGAATCTTGATTTACTGAACCCATTTGTTATTCATGGGTCTGCTTTAAGTATGATTAAACCTAGATCCAGTCCAAGATTAATTATAATTATAGTCACCAGAGTTGCAACATTAATGAACTTTCCCCCCTAAATTTTCAGAATTTTGTTTTTAGCGTTCAGAGTTGAGTACCAATATTTCTGTATCCCAAATAATATTTTGACACACAAGCAAGTGTTATTGGCAAGCTTAGAGACACACCAGTAGTTCCAGATGCATATAAAATATTTAGAAAGCCAATCAAGTAAAGTGGGGAGAGTTATACAGGAATGGCCCAAGGACAATGCTGAATGAAATGAAGGGAGGAAACATAATGGAGAGTTTGGAAAATGGAATGTACTTTTGTTTAGGTTATTTTTCTTCTTACTGTCAAGCCAAGGAAATAGCATGGCTGAAAAATTGCCCGCGGTCATTTCTTCTCTTTTGGCCCAGCTTGCAAGACTCCTTGGTTTGATCGGGATGATCCTTCCGGCACTGGGGATTATGAGCTGCTTCCTGACCTCATGGATGAATACCCCGATGCTCTTTGCCTCCAGCCGGTGGGAATCGAAATCCAAACATGGGACGGGGTGCCAGCCTCCGAAACCGGGCAGCACTTCACCATGTGAGATTCGGGCTGAGGAAGGAGGTGGTGGGCAGCCTCTGCAGGGCACCAGAAAGCAAATGGCTGGAGGGCCGAGGCTGTGCCAGGAGGGGGAGAGAAATGCTGCCCCAGGGGTGCATAACCCTTTCTGGCACTGCCAGTGTGCAAGGAACGGGGGCCTGTGCAAAACAGAAAGGGGCTGTGTCCAAAAAAGTCCTTTTCCTCCAACTCATTCAGTGAATTTCAAATATGTATTTCCCTTCCCACCATTCAGTTTCGCCCACCTTGGTTTTCTTTTTTAAACTGCTGGTGTTCACTTTCATTTTCCTAACATGGGGGATAACGGAGGGACTTGAGGCTACGGAAGGAAAAAAAAAGCTCTATTTTACAGACTTAACAGATTTTTCTTCTTTTTTCTCCCTACCTCTCCTCCCCTCCCCCCCACATCTGGCAGCTGTGCATTTTTCTCTGAATAGTCTCCCCTTTTATTGTCACATAAAGACTTTCCCCCATAAGGCCCTCCAGCCATGAGCGGTCTGAATGTAAGAGCCAGACTGTTCATCTGATCATTGCTTACAGCAGGAATGGGTGGAGGGAAGGAGCAAGAGGCTCTTCCCATCTCTAGAAGACCCTAATTTAGTCACCTAAAAAATTAGTCACCTCCTGTTGTCACATTTTTTTCTGCCTCTAACCAGAAGGGAGAATTCAGCTCCATTCAGACAGAAGACCACCACGCTAGAAGGCCCAACTAAGAAAGAGTTTTATTTTTCCACTAACCATCATACTAATCCCTTCAGGGGCTTTACTAAGGATTCCCTAGCAGTATTTATTTTATTGTTAGGCATTCATGCCTAATTTGCTTTTAGTCAAGAGAGCTCCCAGGATAGCATTCAGGCATCAGACAGCCCTGCCCTGAGACCTCTGATCTAAAAGACACAGCACAAAAGGAGAAGAGAGGAGGAGGGAGGAGAAAAAATGCAGTCTAAGGCCCCAAGTCCTCAGCATTAGATTCCTTCCTTGGGTAGTGAAGTGGACTCCATCTCCTTCAGGATCTCACATTGTTTTTGTTGGGTCATTTTGACAGAAATGATGCCTCTCATGGGTTTGCCTGTATCAACGCCCAGCAAAGGAAAGGTGTACTGTGTCTGGACTATCAAGTGAGATTCTTCTGTCCCAACTCCTTCTGCAGTGAGTAACAAAGACCTGATTCACTGCAATCGCAAGAGAAAGTAGAGCAGCTTCTTCGATGGCGCCAGAGGCTTCCAGTTTAACTGCACCTTAATTTTGTTATCAGTCACACGTGCTCTAGACCCGCTTTGACCCTGATTCTAACCCCTCCGACCCTTTTCTTCTGCTTTCTCCTCTTAAAATGAGAAGCCTCACACAAGCACCCTGCAGACCTTCCCTGCCACACTCCCCCACAGCATTTTTTCTTACCAGATCTCCTCAAATCCCACGTCTCACATGTCCTAATCACTCCATGCATCTGACGATACAGGATACAGTGAGCACGTAGTTCATGACCCTTTATGCTTTCTAATAAAACTTGTCCATCAGAAAAGGTGCCATGAGACTCTCCTGATTTTTGGCTACTATTGACTTGTTAGAATTTTCTCATGGGAAGAAGTGCAGCTCATTATCTTCAAAAAGTATTTGTTATGGCTAAGCAAGTCCTGTGAAAATTGTTATTGTTGGTCTGCACGTATACTGCTATTCACTGCCACCCATTGGCGTCTGTATGCTAGTTATGCAAGGGGTAGATAAAACGGGAGGATTATATGCCCAGCCTCTCAGTAGAGTTTTAGCCACCATGTAGTCAGTTTTT